GCTGATGACCGCCCTGTCACAGCAACGCTGGATCCCACCTCCAGCATTGGCCGTCGGTTCAAAACCCTGCCCACGACACCGGACCGGCGGCCCCCACACTTTGGCAATGTTCCGGAGCCGCTGCGCTCGTCCTGCCCTGCCCAACCCTGAAGGCGCCCGGCACCGGAACATTCCAAAGCATCTACCTTCCGCCGTGATACGGCTTCCACACCAAATTTTCTGTTTTGACACAATGTCGGATAACCGGCTCTTGACTTTCTGCGCCAGACAAAGGAAACGGTGTGAACAAGCAGCGATGTGCGAGACATACCCGTTGCTTAGGTGAGGTGGCCGAGTGGTTTAAGGCAGCGGTCTTGAAAACCGCCGTGCGTGAGAGCGTACCGTGGGTTCGAATCCCACCCTCACCGCCATTTTCTTTTCTGATTTGTACCTGGAAACGTAGCTCACGCGCCCATTGTTCATGGGTGTTCTTGTTTCCATGAAACACAGCCAATACCGTCCAATGTTTCTTCCAACTCGTAGCGCCTGACCGGTCTGTCAGCGATATTCGGAAACGCCGTAGGACGGCCATCGATTGCGAGACAAAGTCAGACCGTGTATTTTCAAAAGATGCGGAATTCCGAACAGGTTCGCCTGGCACTGTTTTGCTGGAGTTTGAGTGCTCTCGTGGTCGTTTTTGGAGGTTACATCCTCCAGCAACACGTTGTTCTGGCGCTCCAGACCGGAATGCACTTTGGTCAAAGAAGTGGTTTCGTTGAGCAGGCAAGTGAACCATGGTCGTTCTGGACCTCGATCCTGCTCTTCGGGTCAATCGGTACTGGCATTGTAATTGCCGGCCTGGCATATCCCGTTTCGATGCTGCTGTCCTGGTTCCGCAAAGACCGTCGCGAACACTGAAACGGATTGACTGAATATCGGCGTTGGGGCGGCGTTGAAGCCAAATCAGACGTTCCTGTTTCACTTTCATACCATCGTGGACCTTTCCACAATTGTGCTGTATCGACATCTCCATGACACCTCACTTCCGGTCCGGACAAACAACAGATGTCGTCGCGTGCGTCGATATCCTGCGCGATTGGGCAGAAGAAACACCGTGGATGGCGGAACTCGACGAACGCGGATCCATGCAGGCTTTCTGGCGAGATATCTTTGAGACCGATAAGGTATGGGTTGCGCAAACGGGGAGCCGCATCGTCGGATTTTGCACCCGCGATGACGATAACATTGGTGCGCTCTACTTGATTGCCGGGGAGCGAGGCACGGGTATTGGAAAGCGTTTGCTCGACTTGGCGAAAGCAGACCGTGACTGGATAACCGTTTGGGCTTATGAAAAGAATAAAGATGCATTGAGGTTCTATCACCGCGAGGGACTCGTCGAGGTGAAACGAGAAATCGAAGTAGAATCAAATCTTATGAATATCGAGCATCGCTGGACCAATCCTGATCAAATCTGATTATTGGCCATGGGTTCAATTCGATCATTCACTCGGATCGACAGACACGTCCACAAGGGTGGCTCGCCTGCGCCCTGAAGTGCCATGGCGTTGTAGACCCATATTCTTTGGTGTGATTGTGAATTAAAGACCACCGTGCCCGAGGCCGCATTACGGTGTCGGATCCCATACGCGCCGCTATGCGCTGAAATGCCGGGATGGATACACCTTCTCCGGCAATAATCTTTCCGGTGGCGCTGCGTCTTAACATTGCTGGAACTGCGAATGGAACCGCCAAAGCGGTTACAGTGCAAGCTTGATACGTCCGCCGTTTCGGGAGCGGGAGCAGCAGGCGATCATGCGCCGGTTCCCGGCCCTTTCGGAGCGCGTCATCACTTTGTCCCGGTGATCAATGTCACCCTCCAGAACCATCACTTCGCAGCTTCCGCACAATCCCTCACGACAATCGGATGCGACATCGATGCCTTTTGCATGAAGGGCGTCGAGCAGCGTTTCATCTGCGGCGACCTTGATGGAAAGTCCGGAATCCTGCAATTCGACATCGAAGCCTGCTTCCTTTTCCGGATCGAGACCGGTGTCCCGCGAAGAAAAATGCTCGAAATGCAGTATGCTCTCGGGCAGGTCCACGGTGAGGTCTTCCAGGGCAGAAATCATGCGTTCCGGACCGCAGACATAAATTTGCCCCTGCTGTTTCAGTGCCGAGACGAGACCGGCAAGGTCTGCACGCCTGTTTTCATCGGCGGCATAAACCGTCAAACGGCCAGCGTGGTCCTGTTCCAGGCGAACGAGGTGGGCCATGCTTCCGCGCGAGCGTCCGCAATAATGGATCGTATAGTCTTTCCCGAGTGCCTTGAGCCGGTCTGCCATGGCAATGATCGGCGTGATCCCGATGCCCCCGGCAATCAGGAGATAGGAGTTCGCCATCTCGTCCAGCCGGAAGAGGTTGCTGGGGCCGCACAGTTTGACCTCCATGCCCTTTCGCACGGTTTCGTGGATATGTTTCGAGCCTCCTCGCCCGCCATCGTCTCGCAAGATGGCAAGATCGTAACCCTCTGCTCCGGGGCGGCTGCAAAGGGAATACTTGCGCTCGTAGTCTGCAACGCAGAGTTCGACGTGGGCACCCGCACTCCAGTCAGGCAACGGTCGCCCCCTGGTGTCCTGGAGCGTCAGTCCGAGGACACCTTCGGCTTCCCACCGAACATCCGCGACACGCACCTTGCGGGCGATGTCGCGACGCGAAGGCGCGCCGACCGGATAGTGGACTTCGGAACCCGCGATTTCCGGTTTTTGGTGTTCAGGGTTCTTTTCAGGATCCCATTCGACCCAGACGTGGTCCGGACCTCTGAAAGATGTTGTCGGCAGATACCTGAACTCCTGATCGGCAAGCTGCAGGTGCGGGATCCTGCGCGAGACTTCCTCCAGGAATACCCGCATTTCCATGCGGCCGATATTCTTGCCCATACATTGATGGCTGCCATAGCCAAAGGTCAGATGATCGACAGCGTTGTCGCGATAGATGTCGAACGTGTCGCCATCCTCGAAATGCCTCTCGTCCTGGTTTCCGGATGCCTGGACGATGAGAAGCCTTGCACCTTCAGGCAGATCAACGCCTCCCAGGCGGGTCTTGCCGGTTGTCTGACGCCGCCAGGCGACGATTGAACCTGAATAGCGCAGACATTCTTCAACGGCATTCGGGATCAGGCTGGCGTCCTGGCAGATATCTTCCCACGCCTGCCGGTGGCTCAACAATGTCTTGAACATGTTCGCCGACGCGAGCGAGGTGGTTTCGTGGGCTGCGACGATAATCGCCATCATCATCGAGTGGACATAGCTGTCGGGTACGATATCGGGCATCTCGGCGTTCTTGCGGATCGTTTCATGCATCCAGCCGGTGCCTTCCGGTTCGTTCTTCATCCTTTCTATGATTTTGCCGGCATAGACCCAGAACTGACCGACGTCATGCGCAACGGCGAGCTGTTTTTCATCCGATGGCCTGCCCCAGGTATTGACCGAATGGGCGACCGAAAAATTCCGCAGGACGTTGATGTCATCTTCCGGAACACCGAGAAAATGCAGCGCTACATTCAAGGGAACTTCGTAGAGCATGGCTTCCACCAGATCGACCCGTCCCGAATCGATAAAAGCGTCAACTTTTTCCCGTGTGAGCCTGCGCACCATTTCCTGCTTGGCTTCCAGGTTTTCGGGAAAGAAGTGATCCATCAGAACTCGCCGACGCTCCATGTGCGCAGGCTCGTCCTCGTTGACCAGGGTCCGGTTCATGGCGTAGCCGTAGGTCTTGAGAACCTCGACCGCCTCGGGTGTCGCAGGGGTTATCTTTTCAAGGGCGATTCGAGGTGAGAAGATGCTGTTGTCACGAAACACGGCCTTGATGTCATCGTAACGGCTGACAACCCAATAACCGAGTTTCGGGCTGAAAAAGACCGGTTTCTGATCCCGCGACCAGCGGAGCGCCTCGGCAGGGTCGGACTGATAGCGATCGGAAAACGCGTCAAATTCCTCAGCTTCCCGGGAGAAAGGGCATTTGCCGGCCACATCTTCGGCTTCGCTTTTATCGCCGGACCTGTTGTCCGTCTGGTTCTCGGACCGTGCCAATTGGCCTCTCCTGAAGTCATTTACTTTTATCGCACAAAATTGCGCGTTATAATCATTGTGCAAGCTTCGACTTCGCGGTCAAGTCCCGTTTCGAAACGGAAGGTTTTGATGAAAGACAATGTCAGGCCGAAAGGAAATCTGCTGCAGACCCTGCAAAGAGGGATGGAAGCACTCACTCACGTAGCAGACAGCCCTGATGGACTTTCCGTCGCGCAGTTAGCTGACAAGCTGCAGGTCGACCGCGCGATTGCTTATCGAATCGTCGCGACCCTGGAAGCGGATGCTTTTGCTTGGCGCGCGGCAAACGGCAACATTTTTCTCGGAAGCGCCGTCCTTGCGCTTGTCTCAAGCCTGGAACCCCAGTTGCGCTCGATCGTGGAGCCTGAACTGAACAAGCTTGCTGAAGAAACCCGGGCGACGGCCTTCCTATCGGTCGCGCGCGGGATGGATGCCGTTGCCATCCTTGTCGCTGAATCAAACTCAGGTCTCATCCGCGTCGGCTACCGTGTCGGCAGCCGACACCCTTTGACACGCGGTGCCGCCGGTATCGCAATTCTCGCAGGGCGTGCGGAACGGCCCGAGGACAGTGATGAGGTTCGTGCCGCAAGACGTGATGGCTACAGCATTACACGGGGCCAGCTGCAACGCGGTGCTGTCGGTATTGCTGCTCCCCTTCGTTTGTCCGGAAAACGGCTGGTTGCCCTTGAGGCTTCAATTGGTGTTGTGGCGCTTGACGATCTGGATACCGAAATGGCGGCACCACTTCTGATGAATTGCGCAGCGCAAATTTCTCAGGGCTTTGGCGGTACATCGAAACTGAACAACTCGAAAACCGTTTAGCGGGTATCCGGCGATCCGGGTGGATAAGGGAAAGTGTGCAAACAACTGCTTGCGCGCTGTTTGCACATATCCTGCCCGTATCGGTATGAATCATCAGGTGATCACGTCGGGTCCGGGACGACCAAGTTTGGCAATATCGGCAATTTCATGTGCAGCCTCGATCACAGGCGCAAGGGTCAGTTGAACGTCCCCGTTCAATTTCGAAGGCTCCGTTTCAAGGTATTCGACGTAAAGGCGGACCGTTGCTCCCTCGGTTCCCGTGCCAGACAGTCGGAACACGGCACGTGCGCCACCGGAAAACTGAATGCGCAGGCCCTGGTTGCTGCTCTTTGAGCCGTCAACAGGGTCTTCGTATGCGAAGCTGTCGGCCTTTGTAACCTCCAGTCCGGCAAAGGACTTACCGGGAAGGTCATTCAATTGCCCGGAAACACGCGCCATCAGAGCGTTTGCGTCGGCGATCGGAAGTGCTTCGAAGTCATGTCTTGAATAATAGTTCCGTCCATACTTTTCCCAATGGGTCAAAAGAAGCTCCGACACGGAGCATTTCCTCGATGCCAGGATGTTGAGCCAGAGAAGGACCGCCCAGAGACCATCCTTTTCGCGGACGTGATCGGATCCGGTTCCGAAACTTTCCTCACCGCAGAGCGTTGCCTTGCCTGCATCGAGAAGATTGCCGAAAAACTTCCATCCTGTCGGAGTTTCGAAACACTCGATACCAAGTTCCAGCGCCACGCGGTCGACGGCGCAACTTGTCGGCATGGACCGGGCAACGCCGGCAAGTCCATTCGCGTAACCGGGCGCCAGATGTGCATTGGCAGTCAAAACGGCAAGACTATCGGAGGGCGAGACATAGCAGTTCCGTCCCAGGATCATGTTCCTGTCACCGTCGCCGTCTGACGCAGCGCCAAAATCAGGTCCGTCATCCGACATCAGTTCGTTCATCAGATCCTTGGCCCAGGCCGGATTGGGATCAGGGTGTCCACCGCCAAAATCTTCCAAAGGGATCGCGTTGATCGCCGTTCCTGAAGGTGCGCCAAGCGCGTCTTCCAGGATCGCTTTTGCGTAAGGACCGGTTATGGCGTGCATGGCATCGAAGCGGATTTCGAATCCGTTGGCGATGTGTTCCCGGATCGCTGTGAAATCAAACAGCTCTTCCATCAACTCTGCGTAATCCGCCACTGGATCAACGACGCTCACGGTCATCTTCCCGACCAGTGTTTCACCGATTGTTTCAAGATCAATGGCGGGCGTGTCCAGTGTCAGATACCGGTTGATGTTGCAGGTGGCCTCGAAGATTGCGTTCGTGACGGCTTCGGGAGCCGGACCGCCATTTGGAATGTTGAACTTGAGTCCGAAGTCTTCGTCGATCCCGCCTGGATTGTGGCTTGCCGAAAGGATCAGACCACCGTCGGTGGCATTCTTTCGGATCAAATTGGATGCCGCTGGCGTCGACAGCAGGCCCCCTCGCCCGGTGATTACATGCTTTGCCCCGTTTGCAGCGGCCATGCGCAGGATTGTCTGGATTGCCTCGGCATTGAAATATCGTCCGTCGCCACCGACAACAAAGGTCTTGCCCTCAGCTCCTCCTATCGCGTCGAAAACGGACTGAACAAAGTTTTCAAGATAATGCGCTTCCATGAAAACGCGTGTCTTCTTGCGTAGACCCGAGGTTCCCGGTTTCTGTCCGTCGATCGGCGCGGTGGGAATCGTTTTGATTTCCATATCAGTTTTCTCCTTCCGGATAAAAATGGGCACGCCCGGACGCGCGCATCAGGTCTGCGGTGTCGGCAAGCGCGGTATTTGCTTCAAGTTTCTCAATAGGGACCGAATAAATCCGGCGCCAATTCGGATGCTCATCAATTGTCCCCGGTAAATTTTGAGCTTCCTCTTCTGCGAGGATGTCGTCCAATTGCACGGATGTCATTGCGGCCGGTGACCGGGCCAGATGGTCATGAATTGCCGTACCTGGATCTGATCCTTGCGGAACCAGAGCGGCAACATCCGCCTTGCGTTCGTCGCGCTGGCGGATTGCTGTGTCTGCATCGATCCAGCCGAGCCGCTGCCACCAGTCAATGTCGCGGCCAGCGCAATATCCGTGCAGTGTCGGCGTGTCATGCGTTGCAAAACAGGCCAGACTATGCGCGCGCAAATGGGACGGATCCCGGAAAGACCGGTCCCATTCTCGTTCATACTGCAATACCGAGTATCCGTAGATGCCGCGCGCAGCGAGCATTTCGCGAAATCCTTCCGGCACCAGCCCGAGGTCTTCTCCAACGACGACACAATTTGCCCGATGCGCCTCGATAGCGGTAAGCGCAAGCAGCGTTTCGAACGGTTGCTGAATGTACGCCCCGGGACTGCCATCGTCTGGAAGCCAGAAGCTGCGATTCAGACCGAGCACGTGATCAATGCGAATGATACCGGCCGCGCGCATGGTCTGCCTGAGCACGGAACGGAAATTGCGATAACCACTCAGCGCGCTAAGCTTTGGTGCGAATGCTGTCAGTTGCCAGTTCTGTCCCTGGGGGTTGAGATGATCCGGCGGCGCTCCAAGGGAAACGCCCTTGGCTACACAGTCTTGTCCCATCCATGCTTCCGCGCCATTCCGTCGGGATCCGACTGCAAGATCCAGATACAGACCCATCGGCATGGTGTCGCTGTCTGCTATCCGCCTCAATTGCTCAGATGCGATCCATTGCAACCAGACGTGAAACTCAATTTCATTCGGGCTGCAGGCATCATCGGGCAATGAGGCTGGATCCTGGAGCGCAATTGGCCAACTTTCCCAGTTTTCACCGTTCTTGACGGCAAGCGCCTCGAACACCGCAAAGCGACTAAGTTCGTCGTCGCACGTACGGACAAATTCGTCGAAATGCGCCTTGGCAGATTCTGAAGCCGCTTCCCGGAATGTTTCGTACAGGGACCGCAGAAGCGACTGGTGACGGGCTCGGACGACCTGATAGTCGATGAGGTCGTCGGACGTATCGAGCTGACCACGAGCTTCTTCCATCAAGGCGATCGCGGACGTGTTGCCGTCAAGTCCGGGTATGCTGTCGAGAGCAATATGCAACGTATTCAAAAAAGCACGATGGGACGGTGAATATGGGCTGGCAATGTCGGAGGTCGACCAGCCCCAGCTATGGATCGGATTGATGCCGAGAAAACTTGCGCCGCGGTCGCCTAGCATTGCGGCAAGACTTGCCAGGTCGGTGTAGTCGCCCACGCCCAGATTCCGGCTGGAACGCAACCCGTAAAGCGGGGCAGTGACACCCCAGACGCGGTCCCTTGCGGCAAGTGAGTCCACCATTGGCGCTTTTACCGGCGCTGCGGGTATCATCGCGATTTGCGTTTCACCCTCCGCTTCCACGTTCAGATGATAAACGCCGACTTCGAGTGCAGGCAGATCTACCTGAGCTTCTGCATATCCATCTGCAAGATACTGATTTTTCTCGTCCTTCAATATCCATGCGCATGGCCGGAAAACCGGAATTGTTGAACCATATCCAGCAGTCACCACAAATTCAGGCGGTACTATGTGGCCAAGCTGCTCTGACCTGATTGCTTCGAGTGATATCCGTGTGTCGGTGTCGGTTTCCGCTGAAACACCCATCGCCTTTAGCAATGCGCGCCGGGTTTCATCATTGGTCCAGTGTTCGTGTCCGCCGAGGTCGTGGAACATGGGCAAGACACCGTACGCTTCAGCCAGCTCATGCAATGGGTTGGAGCTCATGAGACTTCGTCCGCTGAAAGGGCCAGGACGACAACCGACTGGCCTTGAATGTTCATGTTGCCGCTGTCAATGCGCCTTGCTGGGAAGGGCATCTCGGCCGAAGTGTCAAGTTCCAGTCTCCAGGCATAACCATCTGGCGGAACGGGCAGAATTGCCGGCAGGTCGTCTGCGTCCCGGTTGAACAGAAGAAAAAGCGTGTCCTGAACCTGTCTTTCAGGCGCGCACTCTCCAGAACCTCGCAAGATCAGACCGAAGGTGGACAGACCGGGGTCACGCCAATCGAGAGAGCGGCCGTTGAAATCAAGCCATTCTACATCGGGCATTCCGTCGCTCTCGCGCACTGCGCCATGCAGGAAGCGTGACTGGCGAAGGCTAGAGTGTTCCTTTCGCAACCGTGACAGACCGCTGACAAATTCAACGAGGCTTTCATCGCGGTGCTGCCAGTTCACCCAGCCTATCGTGTTATCCTGGCAATAGGCGTTGTTGTTGCCATTTTGACTGTTTCCGATTTCGTCTCCGGCCAATAGCATCGGAGTTCCTTGCGAAAGGAACAGCGTGGCGAGCAGATTTCGTTGACGGCGGGACCGGTTGGCTTGAACAACGGGATCGTCGCTATCGCCTTCAATGCCGAAATTGTCACTGTAGTTCGCGTTGTGACCGTCTCTGCCATCTTCGCCATTGTCTAGGTTGTGTCGATGTGCATAGCGCGTGACGTCGGCAAGCGTGAATCCGTCGTGCGCGGTCACTAGGTTCACCGAGGATCCGGCAGGCCTCCCGCCCCTGTCGAAATACCCGGCCGAGCCCAGAACACAGGCAGCGAGTTCCTGTGCACTGTGGTCGTCGCCGCGCCAGTACCGTCGTGTCGTGTCACGGAACCTGTCATTCCATTCGCCAAATTCAGGAGGAAATTGACCCAGCTGGTAACCGCCCGGCCCGATGTCCCACGGTTCGGCGATCAGGCGAACTGTTGCCAGGATCGGGTCCTGTCGAAGGGCATCGAAGAAACCGCCGTTTGGATCGAAACCATGATCCTCCCGACCGAGTGTCGTTGCCAGGTCAAACCTGAAACCATCCACGCCCATGACCTCAACCCAGTAGCGCAGACTGTCGAGTATCAATCTCATGACGTACGGGTGAGAAACGTTGAGCGTGTTTCCGGTTCCGGTGTCATTGACGTAATAACGCTGCTGGCCCTGAACCAGTCGATAATAGGATGCGTTGTCGATGCCACGGAAGCTCAAAGTCGGGCCCAGATGGTCCCCTTCCGCGGTGTGATTGTAGACAACATCGAGAATGACCTCGATGCCGGCGGTGTGGAAGCGCTGAACCATGGCACGGAAGCCTGCGCGACCTGCGGGACCGAAGTAGCGCGGCTCTGGAACGAAAAACCCGATTGAATTGTAGCCCCAATAATTCTTCAGTCCTTTTTCGACCAGGAAACCGTCGTCGACAAAGGCATGAACGGGAAGCAGTTCGATTGTCGTGATACCCAGTTTTTGGAGATGCTCGAGCATCGGGTCCGATGCCAGGCCCTCATATGTTCCGCGAAGGCTTTCCGGGATCGCAGGATGCACCATTGTCAGCCCCTTTGCATGGGCTTCATAAATCAGAACTTCATCGGAGCGCGGGACCGGACGCTCGCTGGACGGGGCGTGTGTCTCGGGCGCTGTCACAAGTGACTTGGGTACAAAAGGTGCACTGTCGCGTGTGTTGAAGGACAGGTCTCCTTTTGGATCAGAATTAATAAACCCCAGTAAGTCACCGTAAGAACGGTACTTTCCTCTCATTTCGCGCGTGTAGGGGTCGAGGAGGAGCTTGTTGGGATTGAAGCGATGGCCCCTGTCGGGGTCATAGGGACCGTGGACACGATAGCCGTAAAGCGTTCCCGGGCGTATTCCGGGAAGATACCCATGCCAGACCGGACCGCTGCGTTCCGGCAACAGGACCCGGAACGTTTCGGATTGTCCATCGCTTGAGAAAAAACAAAGTTCCACTTTTTGTGCGTTGGCAGAGAACAATGCGAAATTCGTTCCCTCACCGTCAAAATGCGCACCAAGCCTGCTTGGCGTGCCTGGAAGCATCGGGGTGTTCATTCAGCGTCCTTCTCGGCCCCGTCCAGAAGAGATTCAAACAGCGATTGATATGCAGTGGCGGACGCGTCCCACCCAACTTGATGTCGCATCGCGTTGCGCATCAGTAAAGTCCAGATTTTGCGATCGACAAAGAGATCGCATGCGCGGTCAATCGCGTGAACCAGGTTTTCTGCGGTGACTGGTGCAAACTGAAAACCAGTCGCACTTCCCGCCCTGATGGCTGCATCATTTGCGTCGATAATCGTGTCGGCAAGACCGCCTGTACGAGAGACCACTGGCAAAGTCCCGTAGCGAAGACCGTAGAGTTGCGTCAGACCGCAGGGCTCGAAACGTGACGGCACCAGAATAGCGTCCGAACCCGCCTGCATCAGGTGAGACAGGTTTTCATCATAGCCGATGATCGTTCCGACCGATCCGGCATGATCCGCCGCTGCTTTTCGAAAGGATTCCTCAAGTTTCTTCTCACCACTGCCAAGGAGCGCGAGACGCGCACCACGTCCCACGAGTGCCGGAATTGCGTCCAGCAGAAGATCGAGACCCTTTTGTTCCGTCAGTCGGCTGATCACACAAAAGAGCGGTGCGTCGGGATTGCCTGAAAGACCGAAGCGTTTTTCAAGCACTCGCCGATTTGCGGCCTTTCGCTTGAGCGACCTCGCGCTGTAATTTTCTGCAATCGCCGTGTCGGATTGCGGATCCCAGGCCTTCAGGTCAATCCCGTTGAGGATACCGACCAGGTCTGATTTGCGAGACTGGAGCAACCCTTCAAAACCCATACCGAATTCGGCGGCCATCAGCTCTCTGGCATAGGTCGGACT